TTAACATGCCAGATGCTGTCATTAGGACTAGCTGTGTAATTTGCAAGGCCCAGCCCAAAATGAAACTATGAGGCCCATTGTTCAAAAAGTGGAGAAAGGAGTCTTTAAGAGTACAAATTATAGGCCGGCGCTCAATGGGCTAATCCTCCACCTGCGGCGCCAGCACCTCAGGTTCTAGTTCTGGTCGGGGCGCAGGATTCTGTCCTGGTTGATCCTCTTCCAGGCCAGCTCTCTGCTGTGGCCAGGGAGTGCAGTGGAGGATGGCCCAAGTGCTTGGGCCCTGCACCCCATGGGAGACCAGGAGAAGTACCTGGCTCCTGCCTTTGGATCAACGCGATGCGCCCGCTGCAGCGGCCATTGGAGGGTGAACCAATGGAAAAAGGAAGACTTTTCTCTCTGTCTGTCTTCTCTCTTCTCCACTGTCCCTGTTTACAGGAAAAAAAAAAAAAAACTCTGGCTCTCCACACCTCTCTCTACTTAGGGTCATGCTCATAGAGGCACCAAGGATGCTCCTGGGATGGAGTGAGGGTGGGGGTCTGTAGACTTTCTTTTTTCTTTCAAAATTTGTATTGATACAAAGAGAACAGAATTCATGTATTTTTTTAAGATTTGTTTATTTGAAAGTCATAATTACACACAGAGAGAAGGAGAGGCAGAGAGAGAGAGACAGAGAGGTCTTCCATCCGCTAGTTCACTCCCCAATTTGCCACAACGGCTGGAACTACATCGATCTGAAGCCAGAGACAGGAGCCCAGAGCTTATTCCAGGTCTCCCACGTGGGTGCAGGGTCCCAAGGCCTTGGGCCATCTTTTACTGCTTTCCCAGGCCATAGCAGAGAGCTGGATTGGAAGTGGAGCAGCCGGGACTTGAACTGGCACCCATATGGGTTGCTGGCATTGCAGGCGGCAGCTGTACCTGCTATACCACAGCACTGGCCCCAGAATTCATGCATTTTATAGATACAGTTCTAAGAAGATAACCATACTTCCTTCTCTCCCTCTCTGCTTTCCTAAGTCCCCCTTCCTTGCTTTTTTTTTTCTTTAATTTTTGCAATAACATGATTTCAATTTACTTTATAATTATAGGCTTAATGCACCACTAACTAAGGTTCACCATAGACTTTCTCAGGTGCCCAGGTCCCTGTCCTGTCATTCAGTGTTCAGAGGTGCACACCTGCCAGCTGGCTAGCTGCCTAAACCAATGCCCCACGCCCTGCCTGGGGGCTGGAAGCCTACCATCCAATACAAGGCAGAGGAGACCCACCCTCCCCCGAGGCATTGAACTTCTCCCCCTCCCCCCCCCAGCCTTCTCCCAGGTCCTGTGCAGAGAGTTGTTGTGGTTGCTGGGTAGAGATGGGACCTTGGGGGCAGGGAGGGGAACAGACTGCCAGGAACCCGCCCTTCAGTGGCAGGGAGGCGGGGCCGCCCTCGCCCTGGCTCTCCCTCTTGGTCCCTGACACACATTCCATTGTTCCAGGAGACTTCACTTGGAAGACAGGAATTGAACAATAAAATTATTAAAGGTTTCAATCCCAAACAGGGACCCTTTGACCCCTTGTCACTGCACTGGCTGCATGCCTCTGAAGCCAACCTGATTCCGCTACTTGTGTAGAATTTTCTTACTTAAATTTCAGAACAAGCCTGTAAGCCTAGGTATTGCCATAGGGATCAGGAAGTTGAGGCACAGAGCGAACGTGTGGGCTGCTTAAGGTTGCTTGGTGGTTGGCCGGTGGTGTGGCTCACTAGGCTAATCCTCCACCTTGCGGTGCAGGCACACCGGGTTCTAGTCCCGGTTGGGGCGCCGGATTCTGTCCCGGTTGCCCCTCTTCCAGGCCAGCCCTCTGCTGTGGCCAGGGAGTGCAGTGGAGGATGGCCCAAGTGCTTGGGCCCTGCACCCCATGGGAGACCAGGAGAAGTACCTGGCTCCTGCCATCGGATCAGCGCGGTGCGCCGGTCGCAGCGTGCTGGCCGCGGCGGCCGTTGGAGGGTGAACCAACGGCAAAGGAAGACCTTTCTCTCTCTCTCACTGTCCACTCTGCCTGTCAAAAAAAAAAAAAGATTGCTCGGTCAGCTGGATGGGTTGAGGGGGTTCTAGCCCTTGGCAGCCTGACTCAGAGCCCCAAGTTCTTCACATTGCTCCGTGAAAAGAATACACACAGAACAGACAGAAAATCGGAATAGACATCTGAGTATGGTCGGCATTAAGGTTCTGACCTCCCTGCAGTTTTTTTTTTTTTTTCCTCTCTCTCTCTCTCTTTTCCTGAACAGTTTTGTTGATTCCCAAAGCAGAAGTGGGAGCATTAGAACAATGTGTTGAATCATTTTTGAGCTGTCCCCAGGAGACTGCCTATGCAGTCCACCAAAACTGGTAGAGCTGGTTTGGAGCGGGGCCCCTCTCCCCGGCTGCCTTCCCTAATTAGCTCTTCTGGGGGTTTTATGACCTGGCACCAAGTGCAGATCCTGATCAGTTGTGTTAAGGAAGGACTTCGTGAGCAGCTGCTGGGTGTCAGCCAGGACTTGGAGTAACCTTCTAGAACTATGGTTCTACAGTGTGGGAGTAGTTAACTAATTCTTTCAGTGCCCACATTTCCCAGCTAGTTTCTAGTTTCTTTCACTGAAAGTGGACAGGATCTTTGAAAATATAGACTCAAGAGGCCAGTGTTGTGGTGTAGCTGGTAAGACTGTCACCTTCGACGCTGGCATCCCATATGGCCACCGGTTTGAGTCCCAGCTGCTCCACTTCCCATCCAGCTCCCTTCTGATGGCCTGGGAAGGCAAAGAAGGATGGCTTGGGCCCTGCTACTCATGTGGGAGACCAGAATGAAGCTCCTGGCTCCTGGCTTTGGCCTGGCCCCAGCCCTCACCATTGCAGCCATTTGGGGAGTAAACCAATGGATGGAAGATCTTTCTCTCTCTCTCTGCCCATCTCCCTCTTTCTCTCTCTCTCTCTCTCTCTCTGGACTCTGACTTTCAAAAAAATAAATAATTTTTTTAAAAAGAAAACTAGACTCAAAAGAATCACTACTTTTCTTATCCATCCCAGCTTTCCCCTTGTCACTCTGGTTATCACTCAGAAATAAATAGAAAGTAGTCCCAACAACAGACATAATCAGTGGTATGCTGGCTGTTGTCTAGTAAACAGCTCTTTTTTCTAACGGCCTTGATCTGTAGTAGCTGATGATTTCTGGATGCTAGTACTCCACCATCACCAATATCAGAGTGGCAGTGTGATATCCTCGTGCTTGCAAAACTTCGGAAAATTTGACAATCTACTCTTGCCATCTGGTCAGAGCCAGCAGCCTCTAGCTCCACACACCTCTGGATATAGCCCTCCTGTCAAGTATCCTAAAACACTTTATATGAATATCTTTGTTTTTTTGTCTTATTATATATTTTATTTGTTTGAAAGGGAGAGACAGAGAGACAAGAGAGAGACAGAGACAGTGTGTGCACAACAGAGAAAGCTCTGCTACCTAGTGGTTCCTGCCCCAAATGCCTGCAGCAGCTGCCATCTGGGTCTCCTATGCAGGTGGCAGGGGTCTAATTGCTTGAGCCACCACCTGCTGCCTCCCAGGGTGCACATTAGCAGGAAGCTGGAATTGCAAGCAGAGCCAGGTCTCAAACATTCCCTCTGATAAGGAATGCAGTTATCCCAAGCAGTGTAACAATTGTGCCTAATGCCTGCCCAGTGAACATCTTAATTGTCACAATGATTTGAGGACATGCTGAAACAAGGGACAGAAGCTACAACACAGTGATATCTGTTTAACAGTTGAGCTAAGATCACTAAGATTATCCATGATATTTGCCGTGTTTCTAGCAAAAACCAGCATCCAACTGGGGTCACATTGTGTGAGTCTGGCATGGAGAAGGCTGAAGTTTGCCACCCTAGAGGCCACAGTGCTTAGGAAGGGAAGACCTTAAGAAGAAGAGGCAACTTCCATTAGTAACTAAATGTTGTGATTTCAAGGTGGGTGAGAAATTCCCAGAGCAGGGACAGAGCCTCTAGGGTCCTCTGGACACACTCAGGGGGTGCAGCATGGGGAGGGCAGCAGGAAGGACCACGGAGTGGAGCTGCTGCTCGGGACACCTTGCATCCCATGTTGGCGTCTGCTCTGCTGCTTCCATGCCAGCTTCCTGCTAATGTGCACCCTGGGAGGTGGCAAGTGATGGCGTAAGTACCTGGGGGCCTGCTACCACGAGAGCTCCTGGCTCCTGGCTCAGCCTGATCCAGCCCCACTTACCTCTTGTAAGCTTTTGGGAAGTGAACCAGCAGATGGGAGATGTCTGACTGTCTCCCAGCCTTTCAAAATAAACAAATACTGGGGCCGGCGCCGCGGCGCAGTGGGTTAATCCTCTGTCTGTGGCGCCAGCTTAGTCCTGGCTGCTCCACTTCCAATCCAGCTCTCTGCTATGGCCTGGGAAAGCAGCAGAAGATGGCCCAAGTCCTTGGGCCTCTGCACCAGTGTGGGAGACCCAGAAGAAGCTCCTGGCTCGTGGCTTCGGATCAGCGCAGCTCTGGCCGTTAAGGCCATTTGGAGAGTGAACCAACAGAAGGAAGACCTCTCTCTCTGTCTCTTCTTCTCACTGTCTGTAACTCTACTTCTCAAATAAATAAATAAAATCTTAAAAAAAATAGTAAAAAACAAAAGAAGAAAACCCACAGGATGCAAATGTTTACTCTAGTTGTTGAAACAGTGTGGACACATACTGAAACAGCCTATTTGCCTCTGTGCATTAAAATCTCATTTGACATTTTATTGGATTTCTTTCCAATTCTCCTCCCATGAACTGTCTCCCAACACACCACTATCCACATGTTACCGATGTCTACTGTGCATCTCCTCTAAGTGGACCTGGCTCACGAACTCCCCAACTCTCTGAAGGAGTTCCCCTTGGGCTGCCATCTCACCAACCGTCTCTCTGTGCAGTTTGGAAGTGGGGGGCTGGGGAGAGACATTTGGAAGGATGGGCTCCACTGGCCTTTGCAAGGACACTCACGGTCATGTACCTCTGCGCAGGGAGCGGCCTCAAGGTGGGGTCTGCTGCTGTTTCCACGCTGGCTGGTTTGTGTGGAGGACGAGACAAGCTCTCACAACACTTCTAGTATCAAGGAGAGTGCTGCTGATAGAAATGCAAAGATAGGAAAAAATCTGAAAATGCAAAAAAAAGGAAAACACACATAAATAAAAACTTCATCAAACAGCACCCATTTATTTCTAATGTGTACAACGTTCTTGTTGGCACTTAAAATAGAATGGTGAAGGAAGATTTGGTGGGAGTAATTGTTTGGGGAAAAAAATCAATTTAACATCATTTTGCTTTCAATTTCTACTGCCAAGAAAGCTCATGCTGTATCCTCGAATTCAAACATAAGTGTCTCCAGAAACCTTTGGATCACATCTTACAAAACCCCATCTGTTTTACCCTCTCAAAATTAACATTTTTAGCTTAATTCACTTCTAAATTTTCTGACATTAGCTTGGTTCCCCCTCCCCCTTTGTTATCTAAAATCACAACTGGCACCTTTTAGATTTGGATTCAACTCGGAAATAATTTTTAGCTATTTTAAATCCTTTTTAGTAGCAAGCAGGGTATAAATAAAATTTAAAACATAACGATGCAAATATATATGCACATGAATGTTTATTACAGCTTTGTTTGCAACAGCAAAAATTGGAAACAAATGTCTATGAATTGAGAGGTGGCTAAAGCAATAATTGCAAAATTATTAATAATTGCTGGAAACAATACAATATGAATCTATAGGTGTGTATGTACTGATATGGAAGGTTATATATATTCGGTGGGAGAAAAGCCAACTTAAAAACAGTAAACAGATAGCCTTAGCCATGGGGGGAAAACAGCAAAGCTTGGGAAAAATTGTTTAAGGGCACAGAAAGTAGATTCCAAGGAGCACGTCAAGTGAGGAACATGATTACCTTAGGAATGGGGACACGGGGACAGGCAGAGGTCGGGGGCAGCCTCATTGTTTTCTTAAGCTTGTGGTATATTTGAAATCTTCTGCCATGAGAATGTGTGGAGTCATATGTTATTTTGTATTTGAAAATTTGAAGCCAAAAGCAAAATTTCTTCAATCACCAAGCATATATTAGAAAATAGCAAATAACACCAATAAGGGTCATCAGAAAACTTTGAAATCTTTGTTTCTATTCCAGTTTGAGTCATTTCATATCTCCACTCAAGGAAACACAAACAGGAAAAAAGGAGGCGCTGCGGTGCAGTGGGCTCATCGGCTGCGGAGATGCTGGCATCTCGGATCTCAGTGCCTGGGACTGTGTCTCGCCTCTGCTTCTGATCCAGCTTCCTACTAACACACACCCTGGGAGGCAGCAGGTGGTGGCTCAAGTACTTGGATCCTGCCACCCAGGTGGGAGACCTGGATGGAGTTTCCAGACTCCTGGCTTTGGCCTGGTCCAGCCCTGCCTCTTGTAGACAATTGGAGAGTGAATCAGTGCATGGAAAACCTCCCTCTCTCTTTCTCTGATAATCTGCCTTTCCAATAAAGAAAAAAATAGCCTTTTTTTAAAAAAGGGAAAAATGTAAAACATACATATGACAGAAATGTCAGAATGGAGAAGATAATGAGTGTGTAAACTGCTTAGTAAACAGAGAATATACATTTAAGTGACTACAGTGCACAGGAAATGCAGTTGCATATTGTGTGTGTGAAATTTTGTCTTATTTTTGGAGAGCACATTTTCTTTTTTTTTTTTAATATTTATTTATTTATTTGAAAGAGTTACACAGACAGGAGAGGCAGAGAGAGAGAGACAGACAGACAGACAGAGAGAGTCTTCCATCCACTGGTTCACTCCGCAATTGGCCACAACAGCCAGAATTGTGCTGACCTGAAGCCAGAAGCCAGAAGCCAGGAACTTATTCCAGGTTTCCTCCGTGGGTGCAGGAGCCCAAGGACTTGGGCCTGCTTTCCCAGGCCACAGCAGAGAGCTGGATTGGAAGTGGAGCAGCCAGGTTTTGAACCGGCACCCATATGGGATGCTGGCGCCGCAGGCAGGGGATTAACCCACTGTGCCACAGGGCCGGCCCCTGGAGAGCACATTTTCATCATTATCATTAATTGCAGGCAATGTCTTTTTTTTTTTTTTTCCCCGACAGGCAGAATGGACAGTGAGAGAGAGAGAGACAGAGAGGTCTTCCTTTGCCGTTGGTTCACCCTCCAATGGCCGCCGCGGCCAGCACGCTGCGGCCGGCGCACCGCGCTGATCCGATGCCAGGAGCCAGGTGCTTCTCCTGGTCTCCCATGGGGTGCAGGGCCCAAGTACTTGGGCCATCCTCCACTGCACTCCCTGGCCACAGCAGAGAGCTGGCCTGGAAGAGGGGCAACCGGGACAGAATCCAGCACCCCGACCGGGACTAGAACCTGGGGTGCCGGCGCCGCTAGGCAGAGGATTAGCCTGTTGAGCCATGGCGCCGGCCTGGCAATGTCTTAAATTAACTTTTTAAAAAAATATTTTATTTATTTGTTTATTTGAGAGGTAGAGTTACAGACAGAGAGAGGGAGAGACAGAAAGATCTTCCATCACTCTCCAAATGGCCACAACAGCAAGAGCTGAGCCGATCAGAAGTCAGGAGCCAGGAGCATCTTCACTTCTGAGTCTCCCACATGGATGCAGGGCCCAAGGACTTGGGCCATCTGCTACTGCTTTCCCAGGTCATTGCAGAGAGCCGGATTGGAAGAGGAGCAGCAAGGCCTAAAACTGGCACCCATTTGGAATCTGGCGCCACAGGCAGAAGATTAACCTGTGCCACAGCGCCTGCCCCTCTTTAACTTTTATCAACTAAAATAATCTTTTAAAAAAAGAATTATTTATTTGAAAGATGGAGTTGCAGAGAGAGGTAGAGACAGAGAGGTCTTCCATCTGCTGCTTCATTCCCTAGATGGCTGCAACGGCCACAGCTGGGCTGATCCAAAGTCAGGAGCCAGGAGCTTCTTCTGGGGCTCCCACACTGGTGCAGGGGCCCAAGGACTTGGGTCATCTTCTACTGCTTTCCCAGGCTATAGCAGAGAGCTGGATCGGAAGTGGAGTAGCCAGGACTTGAACCAGCGCCCATATGGGATGCTGGCGCTTCAGGCCAGGGCTTTAACCAGCTGTGCCACAGCTAATTTAATCTTAGCAGCCCAATTAGAAACGTTTTGTGGTTATTCCCATTTTACGGATAAGAAACTAAAGCAGAGGTTAAGGAACTTGGCCAAGATTACACAGCTCATGAATGATGGCAGCTGGGATTCACCCAGGCCGGGTGAATCCAAAGTTCACACATGTAATCACAGCCCCAAACTTGCAGGTTGAATGAGCACATGCACGCCTCCGAGGGGCGCCTGTCTGGGGCCGGGGCGGAGGGAGGTAGGGGGATGCCCGGGAGCATCGCCCTGCCTCCCAGCTCCCCGCACTGTCAACGCCATCCCCTAGGCACGCACACGCTTCCCTTGCAGTTTCTCTCCTTGGGTGCAGGCGGTTATTCTCTTGTGTTTCATGCTGGCCTTGGTTGAGGAAGCCGCGGTAGCAGTGCGAGGCGGAGGTGGGGAGGAGGGAGGTCCCTGGCGGAGAGGCGGAGAGGTGGAGAGGTGGATCGGCGCGCTAGACAGGAGACTTACGGCTTATTAACGCACCAGCAGCAGCGCAGGCGCAGGAGCGGCCTCCGGGCTCTCCGACACTGCCTGCTGAGGCGGCTCTACCCCTCACTTTGTGCAGTTACAAGGGAAGTAGAAGCCAGATTCCAGACTCAAGGAATCTATAAATTAGAGTAATATGCTAAGGATATCCACAGATGACACAAAAGACAACAAATAAATTTAGCAGAGAGTTTGGGCTTTGATGGGAAGCAGATTGCCCAGGGTGTCTACCATCCTGTACCCACCACACGAGAGCAGCCCACAGGCACTGACAGGCACCGAGGCTGCCCCTGGCTCTCTCGGCCGCTCAGTCCTGCTGCTGTGGGTCAGTGTAAGTCAAGACTTCCTGAAGTCACAGCCGCGCTCAGCTCCGTCTCCTTCCACACCCTGCTGAGCCACCTCTCTCACAGGTGCTTCCTGGAGAATCCTGACACCTGAACCCCCGCCAGACGCCGCTCAAAGCGCGATCTAGAGGAGGCTCAGGGTGAGTTCCCGGGGTCGGGCCATCCATCCAGCCGGGAGGACCTGGCCTGAAACTGTGTCTCCCCAAGTGAGGATCCCCTTCCTCAGGAGCACCCAGAACGGGTAAAGCCGCTGCCTGCAGTGCCGGCACCCCATAAGGGCGCTGCTGGTTCAGTCAGGCCTGCTCCCATTCCCTTCCAGCTGCCTGCTGGTGCGCCTGGGAAAGCAGTGGAGGATGGCCCAAGTACATGGGCCCCTGCACCCGCGTGGGGGACCCAGAGGAAGCGCCTGGCTTCTGGCTTCAGCCTGCCTCAGCCCTGGCTGTTGTGGTTTTTTGGGGAGTAAAACAGAGGATGGAAATTTCTTTTTCTGTCTGTGTCTCTCTGAAATTCTGGTTTTCAAATAAATAATTTTATTTATTTATTTATTTTTTGACAGACAGAGTGGACAGTGAGAGAGAGAGACAGAGAGAAAGGTCTTCCTTTGCTGTTGGTTCACCCTCCAATGGCCGCCGCGGCCAGCACGCTGCGGCCGGCACGCTGCAGCCGGCGCACCACGATGATCTGATGGCAGGAGCCAGGTGCTTCCCCTGGTCTCCCATGGGGTGCAGGGCCCAAGTACTTGGGCCATCCTCCACTGCACTCCCTGGCCACAGCAGAGAGCTGGCCTGGAAGAGGGGCAACCGGGACAGAATCCGGCGCCCCGACCGGGACTAGAACCCGGTGTGCTGACGCCGCAAGGTGGAGGATTAGCCTAGTGAGCCACGGCGCAGGCCAAATAAATAATTTTTTATGTAGATCACTAGGCCTAACTGTCCGGGTCTCCCATATCTGGGCGGGGCCCATGAACCTGGGCTGCCTTCTCTGCCTTCTCTGACGCACTAGCAGGGAGCTGGATGTGAAGTGGAGCTGCAAGAGTGAATTGACTGTAAAACAATCTCCAAAAAGTTTTTCATTTATTCATTTATCTAGTAAGTATATACTCAGCATTGAGTACATACCAGACACCATCTGCGCGATGCAGGACATGGTGGTAAGCAAAAAAGACATCAGACCTGCCCTACAGAAACTTGGACATACTGGTTTCATGATGATGCAAATACATAAATAGAAAACACGTTAAAGGATGTGTTACAAAACAGCAACTGTGTGTTACAAAGAACAAAATATGCTGTATTAAGGGCTGTAGCTGGTGTTACAGTGCCTGGACTTGTCTGTTAGCTAAAGCCTTTTTTTTTTTTTTTAACATTTATTTAGGGGCTGGCGCTGTGATGCAGCAGGTTAATGCCCTGGCCTGCAGTGCCAGCATCCCATATCGGCACCAGTTCGAGACCCGACTGCTCCACTTCCAATCCAGCTCTCTGCTATGACCTGGGAAAGCAGTAGACAATGGCCCAAGTCCTTGGGCCCCCGCACCCATGTGGGAGACCAGGAAGAAGCTCCTGGCTCCTGGCTGCTGGCTTCAGATTGGCCCAGCTCCAGCCGTTGCAGCCAACTGGGGAGTGAACATTGGATGGAAGACCTCTCTCTCTCTGCCTCTCCTCTCTCTGTGTAACTCTGACTTTCAAATAAATAAATCAATATTTAAAAAACTTTTATTTATTTATTTATTTGAAAGGCAGATTTATAGAGAGGCAGGGGCAGAGACAGAAAGAAAGAGAGGTCTTCCATCCACTGGTTCACTCCTCAAATGGCTGCAACAGCTGAAGCTGCACTGATCCAAAGCCAGGAGCCAGGAGCTTCTTCTGGGTCTCCCACAAGAGTGCAGGGGCCCAAAGACCTGGGCCATCTTCTACTGCTTTCTCAGGCCAGAGAGCTGGATTGGAAGTCCAGCAGCCGAGACTCTAACCGGTGACCATATCGTGTTCCGGCACTGCACACGGTGGCTTTACCTGCTATGCCACAGCCACAGCCCCAGTAGTGCTTTTAATTAGACAACCTAAAGAGAAGAGCTGAGGAAACTTTCTGGGATCAGCATGTGCAAAGGCCCTGTGGTGAGAGGGCACTTGGCACTTGGAATTAAAACAAAGCATCAGAGGCAGCACTGAGAGAATATGGAGAGAAAGAGTGTGAGATTAGATCCAGGGTAGCAGGAATCAGATCTATAGGCCTAGAAATCCACATTTGAAGAACAACAGGAGACCTGTGAAATGAGCTGGTTAATGTGACCTGGGTAAATTTAAGGGCTCCTGACTAGAACTGGGGATGAGACAGTAGGAGGCACCCTCAAGGGTGCTGCAAGACCAGGCTTCTGCTTAGCCCCCGTTTCCACACTCAAGCCTTTCTTTCCGTCGGGGCCCTCTTCCTCCAGGACCGCTCCTCCCTGGGTCTTTATGCTGAACTGCCCAGACACACTCTCTTCAGTTGATCCCCTCCCATTCCGTATCCTAGCGCCTGACCCCTTCCTTCCTCATACTTATTAGATCTGCAGTCACTTTATTGCTCTGATTGCTTCTGCCTGCTTCTAATCTCTTGCAGACACCTGCACGAGCAAAGCCTTGGTTCCTGGCATGGTGATGGCATGTGGTGGATGCACCTTTCGGGGGCAGGGATGAGACATGGGGCCAAGTGCACTCAGCGGGGAGTCGAGGCGGGAGGACAGGGCCAGGAGTGTGGCTGCGGTGGGAGACACTGGGAGGATGCTGCACTAAAGCAGCACTTCGCAGCTTTGCTCTCAGGACACTGTTCACTCTGAAAATATATTTGAAATGCAGAGTGACACAAAGAGGAAGAGGGAGAGAGAGAGAGAGAAAGAGAGAGAGACAGAGACAGAGAGAAAGAGAGAGAGAGGAATCTTCCATCTGCTGGTTCACTCCCCAAATGGCCATAACAACCAACCAGGGCTGGGCCACACCGGAGCCAGGAGCCAGGAGCTTCTTCCAGGTCTCCCACATGGGTGGCAGGTGCTCAAGCACTTGGGCCATCCTCTGCTGCTTTTTCCCAGTGCTTTAGCAGGGAGCTGGATCAGAAGCAGAGCAGGCAGGACACAAACTGGTGTTACTGGTGGCAGCTTTTACCCTTTACACCACAATGCCAGCCCCACACCTACGATTTTTTTAAAAAAATAAGATAAATAATAAACCCATTTATATCCTAATTTTTATGACAAATAACTGTGTTTCCCAAGAGAAAAAAAATCAGTGAGAAAGCGAAATTGCTTACACTTTTGCACATCCCTTCAATGCCTGGCTTATTATTAGATCGTTGGATGCCATGCATAGCTTCTGGATGGTTCTTCTGTACACCTGTGAGAGAATAAAATGGAAAAGGCAAAGATAACTTTAATATTAGTATGAAAATAGTTTGACCTTTTGTCATCTCTGAAAGGACCTTGACCTTGGAATTCCTGACCCCTCCAACAAACCCAGGCTACACTCTGAGAACCACTGGATAGTTAGATGCAAGCTTGACCAATGACTGACTGACAAATTTATATATATATATATACACTTTTTGAAAAATGACATCTTGTTGAATTTTTTAAAAAAAGATTTATTTATTTGAAAGACAGAGTTACAGAGATAGAGACAGAGAGAGAAAGAATCTTCCAGCCGGCGCTGCGGCTCACTAGGCTAATCCTCCGCCTTGCGGCACTGGCACACCGGGTTCTAGTCCCGGTCGGGGCGCCAGATTCTGTCCCAGTTGCCCCTCTTCCAGGCCAGCTCTCTGCTGTGGCAGGGAGTGCAGTGGAGGATGGCCCAAGTACATGGGAGACCAGGATAAGTACCTGGCTCCTGCCATCGGATCAGCGCGGTGCACCGGCTGCAGCGCGCCGGCCACGGTGGCCATTGGAGGGTGAACCAATGGCAAAAGGAAGACCTTTCTCTCTGTCTCTCTCTCTCACCGTCCACTCTGCCTGTCAAAAAATTTAAAAAAAAAAAAAAAAGAATCTTCCATCTGCTGGTTTACTCCCCAGTTGGCTGCAATGATGGGAGCCAGGCTGATCTGAAGCCAGGATCCAGGAGCTTCTTTTGGGTCTCCTGCGTGCACGTAGAAGCCCAAGGGCTTGGGCAATCTTCCACTGCTTTCCCAGGCACAGTAGCAGGGAGCTGGATCCAAAGCAGAGCAGCCAGGACTCAAACTGGTGCCCAATGGGATGCCAACACTGTAGAAGGCAGCTTTACCCACTACGCCACAGCGCTGGCCCCAGATCTATAGTTTTTGAATGGTGGGGATGAGCCTAACCCAAGAGTGAACCTCCAGGATAAAGGTGCTCTTCCTTAATGTCTGTACTTCAATTACTTTTGACATCTAACATTGATTTCAATGTATTTTTGAGCCATTTCATTTTTAAGAGCTCATTTGGAGATCTTAAAAATTAATTTAATCTTTTGTCTCTGAAGTTTAATTCTTCCACTACTGGCGTATTATTTATGGCTTCTGAGAAAAATTGCCAATCACTTGGGTAATTTGCACCTAAAATGAAGGTGCAAGGAAGCTGAAATGAGAAGCAGCCAGAATATTAGTTCCTTGGTTTTTCCCACAAAGGCTGTGGACCAAAATTCACACAACCTTCCTTTCACCACAGCTTCCATTTCCAGCACTTCTAAAAGCGCGTGATACTCGTGCTGAGGAAGCCACTTCCTTCCCAAGCTGTCTGACTACCACTGTCTCTTCCTTCATGGTCGATGGCTAAGGATGTTTATGAGTTTTAAGGGGCTGTAGAGGGGCCTAGGATTGGACTTTGAGAAAAATGGCACCTCCAGGGCTGACTATCATCCCAGTGGTATTGGTCAGTGGTCCAGCTGTCTTCAAGAGGAGGCACACACCGTCTACAACAACTTGAGAGAAGATGAAGTCCCTGAGAGTGGCTGTGTTGAGAATATCTCATTGCTGACACCTTGCCCTATCTGTACAGGACTATGGTGTTGCGAGCTTCCGCCTTTCCTCACACTTAAATGCATTCAATAGCTACAAGTGCTCCTGGAGGCCTTCGGCTTAGCTGGGACAAAACCGTTTGAAAAGTGGGTAAAGGAATTCACGTAGTACATGATGGGCCCTAGCTCTTATTCTAAACCCTCATCTCAACAGGAGGCTGTTCCCTGTGTAGGACTCTACTCCTAGAGGCCGAGTGGTCTCCAGGCCTGCCTGACGGCTGGGAAGTGCTCTGCAAGGCGGTTAGATGAGCAGCTCCGACCGTGCCGCTTGCACATCACTGCTTTCCGTCATAGGAATACGTGCCTGCTCAGAGGGATTTCATCTGGGGACGCATTCATGGTGAGGAAAGAGACTGCCATGCTGTTAAGTCAAGAAGTCTGCTTCTGTTCCCACAGGTGAGGATTTCTATCTTGCATATTTTGCCAAAGCCTTGTTAGCCCTTGTAACACAAAGCATCTGGCCATATGACAAGGGCAGCCTGCTCCCGCCTTACCTCCTGAAGGAGAGCCACCTGGTGTAATAGAAAAAGCCAAGGCAGGGACTCTGGGAATCTGCTTTTATATTGTTACTGTGTGTGGTTATCTATTGCTGCAAAGTCAACTGCCCTAAAGCACAGTGGCTCAGAATTGTTGACAGAAACTATGCTTGATAAAACTTTAGTCAAGTTTCTCTGTGCTCTCTTCTCAACTAGAATTTAACCTTTGCTCATGAGAACCACACAATTTAGGCACAAATACTTTTATGTAGCCCTCACAATGAGAGACTTGAGAAAATACCAGCCTGGTTCCTAACAGCTCAAGACCCTGCTCTTGATGTGACCCAGCCTTTCTTGAGTTTGTGCCCTGGAGAGCTCAAGGCTGCCAACAATATTTACTGTGGGAGATTTCCTTTTCAAAATTTTTTAGTGCTTTATCATCTTTCATTTTATTTGAGAGAGACAGAGACGAAATGACAGATATCTTCCATCCACTGGTCCTCTCCCCACATGCCCATGACAGCCAGGATTGGGCAAGACTGAAGCCAGGCTCCAGAAACCCAATCTGAGTCTCCTACATGGGTGGCAGAGACCTGAGTAGTTGAGCCATCATCGGCTGCCTCCCTCCCAGGGTACATTAGTAGGAAGCCAGAATCGAAAGTGGAGCTGGGACTCAAACCTAAGCCTCTGATATGGGACGCAGGTGTCCCCAGGGACTGTTGGTGGGAGGGCTCAGTTTTCACCACAGGGCTGCTTGAGTGGCCTTGTGATGTGGTAGTGAAGAGACAGCAAGGTAGTGGGGAGCTTCCATATCTTGTTTGACCTAGTCCTGGCAGTCTCACACCTCTGCAGCATCTCTCAGGCCATCTCTACTCATGGTGGAAAGGAACTCCAAAGGAGTGCACACACGGTGGCAGGAATCATCAGGGGTCATCTTGGAGGCTGGTTGCCATGCCTCTGCTAGTAACCTCTGCCATGACCTTGAGCCACCTTTGTCAGGGCCTTGAGCAGGTCAACCTAGGCTGGAAGTTAGGTTTGGACAGGGCTTGATCTGTGAGGTCCCTCTTAGGCCTGACTTCATCTTCAGTTAAGTGAGAGAATTGTTCAATGAAGGAAAGAGTTAATGTGCTTACAGAAGAACTTCTCACAGAGAGTAACTCATCTGCCAGGCTCTGGCCCAATTCCTAGAACTGGGCTGCCTGTTTTGTGGGGGAGGGGGTTGAAGCAGCTGCCCGGGGTTCCCATCATTTCTCCTCTCACTTCCGAGGTCAGGGAAATGGGAGGGCACAAGAACAGGTGGCTCTTGACTAGCTGGCTTGGATCAGCCCTGATACAAAGACACTAAGGATTTGGAAACGAGAATGTGAGAGGGGGAATTGGCTGGCTGCCTTTGGAAAGAGCTGGTCCTAGTTTTGCTCCTTTTAGGAGTTTTGCACCTGATTAATGATTCTGTTCAAGATGGATTAAGCTGCTGGAACCTTTCTCCATTTAGCACTGCCAACTCCTTCTTACTAACACTTTTTTTTTTTCCTAGTACCAGTCTTCCCATCCCCCGACTTGTTCTTGGGGCAAACCAAAGGCCTAGGATGAATTGCATTTTCCCTGGGAAAGGCACAAGAGACTGCACAGTGGCCCCAGGGCCTCTTCCTGGAGGTCCGAGACCAAGGTGAGAGTACAAGGGAGAGGAGCTATGAATCAACAGCTTCCCCCAGATCCCCTGACTCCAAGCTCCCGTATCTTCCTCAGGAAGTTTCATTCTGAACAAATCTCCCTTTCAAGGGACAGCTCCTGGCTTTATTCTATCTTCCCTAGAAATGAGCAGAGAGAAGGCAGGGAGTAACAACCAAACCAAGAAGTTGAGAAGGAATTGCTTTTGTTATTCAAGATGTTAAAACAATTTTTTTTTTAATTCCCACACCCGACATCCCCTCAGAGGTTGAATTCCACTTCCCCATTCCATGCACACTCTTATACAGTGAATGGCAAAGCCTCGCAATCATGGCCTCATAATTGGGACCAGTAGGGCAATGAATCCTAAGTCTCTTTCCCATTCTTCTCTTTCCTGCAGGAACACACTGCTAATAATTGGTGATCAGTTATTTGAAGAGTTGCTCTTCCTGTTTGCTCTGGATTGGATCTCATTGTTGTGGGGGATGAGGGAGCTGGCAAAAGGTAAAGGTGGCTGCGTTCACCTTCGCCTCAGTCCTGCCCCGGCGCTTCTTGTTGACTCCGCTTTGCCTCTTGGCTCTGCCTGTCTCCCCTCTCCCTGCTGTGTCTCCCCCACCTCATTCCAAGTTGTCCTTTATTCAGCTGGGATCCAAGGATCGCCCTCAGAGAAAGCAGATCATTGCCGGCTCCTCCGACTCGGGGGTGCCAAGGCCTCGGCGGCAGGCCGAGGAGCGCCGGCACAATGGCCCTTTATGCCTCGCTGTGGGCTCTGTGCTGGCCCCAGCTGCCCCCATGCTTTGGTGTTCCTTACTCTTTTCTTCAGGCTTCTTTTTCCAGCTGACTTAGTTATTACAGTACATGAACCTGGGAGGCAGGGTCTTGGAGGCTGGGGCTGGCACACAGAATCTGAGAGTGAGTGTGGCTCCTGGGCCCTGCCATGACATCACCAGGAGGTGATGGGTCACATTTCTACTTCCTGGACTCGTTTCTGCTTTCATGGTAGGGGACAGAGGCAGGGCCTCTCTTGTGATAACTGGCTTCCCTGTCAGGGTCCTGGACCCTGCCAGCCTATTACCCCTCTAAAAACAGAACTGAGTATTCAGTGGGCGATGGAGAAGGCCCTCTCTTCCCAACTCCAGTTTAGGTACAAAGTGTAATAAAGGCAAGAGGTCGATGTTGCAGTAGCTCAAAGTGGAGCTGCCAAAGCAGCTGATGGCTCAAGCA